TTGAAGATAGGAAATGGTAGTGAAGAGTCAGTCAGTTCCCTATTACTGCTGGTCTCTGTATCTTGCAAGTTCCCCCCTTTTGTCTTCGCCTCTTCTCCAGCCATGATTTGTAACCTCCCTCATATATGGTCAGATATAGTAATACAAATTACTTATACCGGTTTGGGGGTCAACAATAATTTCCTTTTCAAACTATAAGGATGGACAAACCGAATCCTTGAATGCCTATAAGAAGGTGTCGTAAGAGCCCCATTGATTCTAAAAATGTGGTAATCTCTGTTAAGGAGAGCATGTTTCCTGCTGAGTGCTAGAGATAAGCTTATGCCTAGTTCTTTATATCCAGTTAGCAAACATCTCCCCATTGATGATTTCCTTGCTTTCTGCCTAAGTAATTGGCACAGATCTCCTTAAGCTGAAGCACTTTTGTTGGCTTGAGTGTTAGCAGTCTGGAGGAGGAAGTGGAAATCGCTTTAGCTGAGCAGGTTTTGTCTCCATGATAATGCCAAAGAAGAGATAGTCTCAGCTCATTGTGAAAGTTCCTCTGGATGATAGACGTGATAACACTGTACTGAGTTTGGGTATGGAGTTTGGGGTTGCAAAGTTTTTAGTTTAAATATGTGTGTACATGAAAATTAAACTTCTATTCAGTAAACTACGTCCCTGAGTATTTTTGAAAAGTTTAAGAGAATGTGTGCCTTACTAGAATAACTTTTTATTTGATTCATTAGTTAACTTAGATTTCAGGGTGTGTGTTTTTTTTTTCAATTAATGCTAACGAAGAAAGCATTGAATTATTCAACATTCTATAAGGCAATTAAAATAATAAAAAATGCAAAAAAGCTTGATTTTAAGGGAATAGCTTTATTTCCATCTAAATAGGCAAAACAAGGCATTCTGTAGATCTCCAGCTACTATTGAATAAGGTCAGCTAGCTGCAGAGGCTACTCCAAATGGTCTCCTCTAAATCGATGAGCAGGACGCTGCCTATGGGAGAGGTTGTTTCCTCAAGTACAAAATGACACAAATCTCTTTCTGGGGCTGTTGTGAGGTTCGTAACTAGAGATGGGGATATTCATAGTTGTATATGAATACGAATATTCCCCCCACACACACACAGATAGTGAACCATTCATGATTCCGCCACTTCCACTGGCTCCACAGAGCCTTCCTATCGCTCCGTTGCTTGTAATAGATTAGCCCAGTCCTGGCAGAAGGCAGGATGAGGAGCCTCTCTGCCAGGTTGCAGAGTGGCTCATCCGTCGCGAGCAATGGAGTGACAGGAAGGCTCCGCAGAGCTGGCAGCAGCGGCAGAATCGTTAGTGCTTGGTCTGGCCCCAGAGGGGCAGACCCTTGTTATCTGCACCTGTGACAGGATAGTTGTATATGGATACGAGTACCCCATCTCTATTTGTAGTATGTTAGTCCTTGTAAGCCGCCCCGAGTAGACATGGTC